GAGTACGATCAGGGCGGGAGTTGATCAGGGGAGGCCCACGCTCTGCTTTCCCTGCCCCAACATAGCTGATCTGATCCAACTGTAAGCCTACTAAGGCAAGAAGCGTTCTTTAGCCCCACCTCATGGTTGGGGGCACAGACGCAACTGGAGCCTGGCATGGGAGTCCGGAGTTCCTGACTCATATCCCTGCTTCCACACAGCCACCCTTGGGTACCACTGTGTGTTAGGCCTGCAGGGGCCCTCTGATCCCATCCCCCCCACTTTCATCATGCCCTTTCCTGAGAACAGCCAGCAGCTCACACACACACACACACACACACACACACACACACACACCAAGGAAGAGTGACAACACTTCATCCTCGCTGTGCCGGGCCGCACCCCACAGGGAAGGGGCCGTATCCCCAAGACCCAGAGCCAGGCAGAACCTTGGCCTGCAGGGAGACTGCTGTGGATCTGACCCCCGACCCCAGCCTGACTTGTCAGGCAGAGTCTGGGCTCCTCTGCCTTCCGGCCCGCTGCCCACTCCCCTGCTCCAGCACAGATGTCCTCCCTGTCTGCTCCTGATAACAGACGAGACAGCACAGCGGTACAAGAAATTGCTTCTGTTACTCACCAGGCTGACAGGAGCGGGTGTGCTTGGGCAGCTCTCTCATTCGCACCTGGCCATTCAGCACAGAGCAGGTGTAAATTAGTCCCCCCACCCCCAGCACCTCTCAGGGCCCCCCCAGCCCTTACACCTTGGGAGTCCCTGTGCACGACAGCGCCTGGCAGTTATTCACTGAAACCCCTCAGGCCTGGAACCCATCCTCTTCCAAGGTTTGAAATGCCCACGTCAGAGATTCAGTCCTTTGAACTAAAAGGGATTCATTCCATCTCCAGAGGCCCCAGTGAGAGCTGGAAGGCCCTAAGCACTATTTCAAGCCCTTATAGCTCACACATGCGTGAGTCAGGTGGCGACCAGTGAAATAGAGCCTGGCTGAGGGGTTTATGAGAGTGTGATGGGGAAGAGGAGACAACAGAGAGGAACCCAGAACAAGCCCCTACACCCAGGCCCTCTCCTGCCACTGAAGGTCAGAGCTAGAGGGTCAGGGAGAGGATGGTCTTAACCCCTCAGCACACGGGCTGGGAAACTGAGCCCAGAGGGGTGCAGGGATAGGTCACAGGGACACAGGGACCCACTGACTGGGTGCCTAAGCTAGAGCAGACCTGGCAGGGTCCTCCTTCCATGCTGAGGTGCAGCCCCCAGCTGTCCCCCAGCTGTGTCCAGAGCCCCTTCATCTTCCTGCTTTACTTCCCATCAGCACCATGTAATTGGGACCCCCAGCCAGCCTCCCACAGCAGCTGCAACCAGACCCTCCTGAGCCCACTGCCAGCCTCCTCCCCCTTCCTCACCCAGGTTTCCACAGTCCCCTGTTTCTCTCACACCCAGAAACAAGCCAGCTCCTCCTGGCCCTGTTCTCTCCTCTCCTCCCTCATTAGCGGCACTCCTGCACCCCGCAAGCACTCTGTGGAGTGCTCTTTGGAGCAACTCTGCACAGTGTATTCCCTCCACTGCTGGGGATACAGCAGCGAACATGGTAGACACGGTCCCCTCCCTCCGGAGCCAGGGTTCTAGTCAGACAGACAGGAAATAAGAATAAACACCAGATATGTGAGTGTTACAGAAAAAGCAATCCAGGCGCTGAGAGAACAGGGTGGGCTACTTGAACGAAAGTGGTTGCAGAAGGCCTCTCAGAAGTGCTGACATTTAAGCTTTAAAGAAAGAGAGGGAGCCAGCCCCTGAGCGGGTAGGGCTGGGGTGGGAGTGGGGAGTCCAGGTGGAGGGATCAGCAGGTGCAAAGACCCTGAGGCAGAAACAAGTGGGGCGTGCTGGAGGGGTGAGACAGAAGAGGCCAAGCAAAGGGAAAATGATTGGAGGGCTGGCCTTTGGTGTGGGCCAAGGGCAGACAGGCCGGCACATGCGGGCCTTGGCTCTCATGGTGAGAATTACAGAATTCATTCTAAGGGCGGTGGGGCATGGGGTCATTTGCAGGGGCTCAAGCTGGGGAATGACATGATCCAATTCATTGTTAAGAAGGCAGTTTTGCCACTGTTACCAAATTGCCTGGGAAAGGAATGGTCTTGGGACAGGAGTGGAAGCAGAGGGGTGAGGGGTTAGAGAAAGAAAGCAGGAATCACAGCTGGCGGAGCTGGGTGAGGCTGAGGGGTGAGTGGAGCCCAGTGGTGAGCAAGGGGTGAGAGCCAGGAGCCAGATCGGGAGCTGCTTGGCACGGCAGTGCAGCAGGTGGGGGCTGATGGGTGTCCTCTGGGCCTGAGTTCCCATCGCCCAGCCCAGGGCCTGAAGGAGGGCAGCCTTGAGCAGAGGAGGCGGGAGCAGGTGGGAACAGGTGTTGGGTGTGGAGGCAGGGATGAGCCCATTGCTGGGGAGACAGAGGGCAGGTGGGCTAGCTGTGTCCCAGGTTGGGTCCAAGACCCCCCAGGGCTCACTGACCTCCTCTCTTCCCCAGGTCTTTGTCCGGAGAGTCAACGAGCCCCTGGTAAACAACCCCAACCCAATGGTGGTTGTTGCCCGGGTGGTTCCCAGCTACAAGGATTTTAAGTGAGTGGGGCCCGGGTGGGTGAGGACGTGGACAGAGAGGAGAACGCATGGGACAGAGTAGGAGAAGACTGTCATTGCCTCCGCAGGCTGTGACTCCAGGAGTCCTAGAAACCTGCCCTCCTGCAAGGCCCTTCAAACCCCTCCTCTGGGCCTGCAGTCCCAGGAAGCTGCGCCCAGCCCCTGGAAAGGGCCCGCCAGACCTCTCCTGAGCGCAGCCAGCCTGTGGAGATGGAGGGGTCCTCAGCTCCTCCAAACCTCCCCCCATCTCCCACCTGCCACGCTCCACTCTAGCTCAGGGTGCAGACTCCATGGTGCTTGTCCCCAAGGACACAGCCCACGGGTCACCTCAGAACTTCGTGACTTTAACCCTGCCTAGAAGTCCCCTCGCACACCCTCCTGGAGGTCTCCCTGTCTCCAGCCCCAGCTCACCCCTCCTCCCCACACCTCCCTTGGGCTTGGTGGATTCTCGCTTCTCAGGAAGGGATTCAGCCTGGTTGTACCACTTGGTGCTGTACAGAGCAGTGAGGTGCCCAGGGGGACCCCTGACTCATTCGTTCCACCTGTTGAGTTCTGAGGACCTGTGAACTCTCCTTGCTTGTTGGAGGAATGAAAACGGCTAATGAGCTTAGCCTGGCCCTCCGAAGAGCTCAGTGCACGCACGCACACACACACACACACACACATGCACACACACACACATGCACACACACACACAATGCACACCCTGAACCCTGCCTTTGCAGCCTCCCTAACCCCAAGCCTAAACTAGGACTCCCACCACAGGGTGAGGCATGAGGCAGGGGTACAAGGCCCATTTTAGGGAGAGGGCAGCTGTGTTCAGATGGGGCCAAGGCCATGCTGCATCACGGGGAAGGGAACTGAAGGCTACAGCCCATCTCCTGACCAAGACAGGCCAGCAGTCACCAGGACCAGGGCCCACAGCCTTCCCAGTGTCCAGGCCTAACTAGGAGGGCACCGTGCTCTCCTCCTCTCGTGCATCAATCCGGAGTCCACGCAGGAGCCCTGGCAGCCAGGCTTGGGCAAAGGGCCAAGAGTGCTGGACTTCTGCAGCACTGCACGCTGACCCCTGTCTCCTTGCCTCCCCAGGGTCAAGCAGCTAAACCAGGACCCGGTATCCCTGGGACTGCCCATCACCCCACTCTCCTTCCCTATCAAATCGGTGGCAAGCTTTGGGGTTCCTCAGCTGGGCCAGAACGGGTGCCCTCGGGTAAGGCCCCCTCCCTCCCTCGCCCCCTCACCAGCTCATACCCCTCCTAACTCCCTAACTCCTACCCTGTTCCCCTGGTAAATTTACTGACTCCTGCCGTGACCCAGGGCAGTAAGGAGCTGCCCTCAGGGAGCCTGTGATCTGGTGGAGGTACAGGGTCACATACGTGAAAATGGTGAACATCAACATAAGATGATATGTAATCTGATAACGAACCAGGAGGGACTGTCAGAGATGTAAAATTCAGAGAAAACAGAAGGACAAATACTGTCTGATTCCACTTACAAGCAGCACCTAGAATAGACAAATTCATAGAGACAGAAAGTAAAAAGGTGGCTGCCAGGGGCAGGGTGGGAGGGGAACCCGGGAGTTACTGTCTGATGGGTACAGATGAAAAAAATGGAATGATGAAAAAGTTCTGGGAAGACAGTGGTGATAGTTACATACTGCGAATGTACTAAATGTCCCTGAACTGTACCGTTTACAAATGGTTAGAATGGCAAGTTTTATGTTATGAATATTTGACCCAAATAAAAAAATTATTTTTTAATCAGAGGTGAGAGGGCTGTGGAGCCTGGGTGATTAGAGTGGGCACCCAGACACAGGACTCTTGAGTTTTTAATAGGTGAGGGTTCGTTCAGGGCAATTGAGAACAAGGGCACAGGTGTGGAGATGGGGAAGTGGGGAACATGATACACACCAGGTTGGAGGGGGGGGAGTGTGTTTGCATGTGTCAGGGAAGGGCGTGCAGATCCTGGTGGGTCCAGGAGAATGGCCAGATTAACCCTTCCCCTTAGTCCGCACTTCCGCAGGAGCTCGCCCTGCGTGTTGGCCCCAGCATTCCTAGAGGCCTGAAAGAACACAGTGCTGCTGGGAAGTCCTTCCTGTTGTCTGCCCACCAATGTTCATGCTTGGCCTGGAAAATATAGAATGAGGCACCCCTTCAGAGCCCCAGCCTTCATTTAAAGGCAAAGGCATTTGAAGAAGGCTCAGACATGGACAAGAGTGATGGTGGCAGGGAAGGGTGGGATGAAGGGGGACCCTGGAGACAGGCTTCAAACCCAAACCAATCCTCAGTCTGATTTCCCCAGAGTCATCTCACACATGGCCCTGCATTTGCCCAGAAAATTATGAACCAATCAGCAGGCAGTCCCAAGGGGCAGGAGGTGCTGGCTGCGATAATGAGTGAGCCCCTCCCCACCCACAGGCCTTCTCTGGCTGCCTTTGCTGCTGAACTAGTCTGGGTGGGGGAGGTGCCCCTCGCTACAGAGACTCACCCTCCGTGCCTCTTGCATGTGTGGGACTCATGGCCAGAGGTGACTGCAGGACACTTGTTGAAGGTCACCCTACAAGGTGTGGAGAAGTAGGAGTGGGTAGAGTTCTACTTGGAAGAGACACCAGTCAGCATCTTACAGATCCCTGCCCCCTCCCCTCTCTGAGCTTCAGTCTCCCCGGGTCAGTTGAGGGGATGGGGGTTGAACTAGGTAATTTTTAGGACCTGTCTCTCTGACGTCATGCATGCTGTGGTTTCCCACCAGCTGCTCACCCTGCCAAACAACTGTGGGCAGGAATGTGAGGGCCCTGCAGACCCCAGCTCTGTGACTTACTGGCTGTATGGCCTTCAGCAAGCTTCTCAATTGCTCCAATTCCTGATTCCTCCCTTATTGGGCTGTAAGGAGAAGTGGCTGACCTGCGTGAAGTGACCTAGCCCAGAGCAGAAGATAAATGGGTACCATCCATTCCAGCGCTGCGCCTCCCCTAGTGCCAAGTGCCCCTGCCGAGGCCACCCTCACTGTTGCTCTTACTACATTTGGCTGCTAGTTACAGAAACCCCAGCTCCATGGGCTTAATCCGTAAGGATATTTATCATCACACATTGCAAGGGTCCCCATGTAGGATGCCAATAGAATTGGTTGATGCACCAAGCTCAGCAGTATTCTCAAGGATTCAGGGTATTTCCAGCCCCACTGAATTGCATCTTCAGCTGGCTAACAACTCATGGGGAAAAATGTTACAGGCACCCCCTCCACACATGACCGAGACAGGAGGAAGGGGGAGCCTTCCCCTTCACCTGTGGTTTTTATGAGGAATTGCAAACCCACCCGCAGCCCCTCAGCAGACCTCTCCCAGCATCCGTTGGCCAGAGCTGGGTTACAGCAGCGCTTCCGTCAGCCCGTCTCTGAGGAGGGGCGTCCCGGCATCACCCTGCTGGTAGCTAGTGCAGGCAGGAGTGGGGAGGGGGCGGGGGAGACTGGCGGCCCTTGGTGTCACTTCACCAGGCTGGAGCCTGGGGACGATGGCAAACCTGAACTCTGACGAGAAGGGACAGGAAGGTTAAGAGACTAGGGGCTCAGCCTCGGGTGGGAGTTAGGAGTTCCCCCTACCCTGCTCTTCTGGGAGTGGGCCACTGCCCAACCAGCTGCTGCCGTTGGTCTAGCCTCTTGCAGAGCCCCTGGTGAGGTTGTCTGTGTCCCCTCACCTCCTCCCGTCGCAGCCCCCACCACCAGGCTGTACCCAAGCTCTCAGAGCCCCCTTCCCACCCCACAGACGTGTCCCTCGTGCCAGCCTCATCTTCCCTTGCTTGGACAGTTGCGGCAGCCTCCACTCGGGCCCCTGCCATCCATCCTGTGAGAGGCAGCCACCGCAAGCCCCGGCCGAGGGCGGGCCCTTCCCTTGGACCCCTCGTCCTTGCCGCCAACAGCACAAAGGCCTCACTGTCGGCGAAGCACACAAGGCCTCGTCCCTCCAGCCTCCTGGCTCACGGCTCCAGTTCAGGCAGGCTTCCCGTGGCCCCGCTGACGGCTGTGCCCGCAAACACTGTTCTCTCCCCACGCCGTGGTCACCTCCACCGTACGGCAGCGTCTTCTTCCTTCCATCTGAGGGACCCCTCAGTTCCTCCCTTGCCCCGTCAGCAGTCATGGCTTTCTCCTCGGATGACCCAGCTCCCACAGCCCCCAATTTGCTTAGGCCTCCGCCTGAATCACAGGGGTGTGTGTGTCTATTTGGGTGCATGTGTGTCCTATCCCCTTGGAAGAGGGTGAGCTCCAGAGGTGAGAGGGACCTGGCTCTAACTCCCCCATATGCCCTGCAGCACCCCTAGGCATCTAGCATGGAGAAGCCCCCAAGCAGCATTTGCTGAGTTCAGTCGAATTGAACTTTCACCTTCACAACAAAATACCCATTGACTCCAACCCTCACAACAGCCTTTCAAGGCACGGAGCATTGGACGTTTTCCTCCTGAACAGCGACAAAACCAGGTCCCTGGGGAGGGAAGAAACTTGCCAAAAGTCAGACAGCAGAGCCGAGGCAGACCCGGGCCCAGAGAGCCAAGGCATCCTAGCTCCTCAGGCCCCACCCAGCACCACTTGCCTGCAGCTCCTCTTCCCAAGATGGGCTCAGCAGGTGTCTGTGGTGGGCCCCAGGGCCCATGTGTTGAAGGCTTTGTCCTCTGGGCAGGCAGGTCCACCTTAATGGCCGGGATAAATGGCTGCTGAAGATCACAACTAAAGGTCAATCAGGTCCTTAATTCCACAGCCTGCCTTGGCCTTCCCCATTGGCATTAGGGGGCAATGGATCCCCCTCACCCTGTCCCACCCTGCTTCCCCCCCCTCCCCCCCTCACACATGCCCCCAGCATGTTCACAAGGACCCTGACATCAGCCTCAGAGGGTGGCTTGAGAGCTGGATTCCTTGCCCCCCCCCTTACACATACACGAGAGGGTGACCCTCCCTCCTCCGTTCCCAGTCTGAAGGGACCTTTCTGAGGCAGACACCGTTTCTTGCTTTGTAGTCTCCATTTAGACATATAATAGACCCCAGAGAAGACGGCCAGGGTCCGTTAAATACCCCTCTTTCAGGGTAGGGGCAAGGGATAGGTCAGCAGGGGACTGAGTTCCAGGTCCTCCTTGAGTGCCCCAGTGCCTGGCAGATGGTCCAGGCCATGCGCATGCCCTTCTGGCACCCAGGAGAATGGACTGGCTCTGGGATGCGCATGACTTGGGGATCAATTCCAAGCCCCACAGAATGCAGAAACCGCTTCTCTGGTCTGGCCTGGTGGCCAAGCAGCTGTCCCTGAGCTCACTCCAGAGCCCATTCTTAGGAACACTCCCATCACCCAGGTCACTGTCCCTGTGTTCAGAGCCCCTGGCCCCAAAGTGACTGCAGCCCATCTCCCCAGGGACAGAGGCAGGGGCAGACGCAGCTGAGCCTCGGAGACCTGGAGCAGGCACATTCATGTGACAGGCATCAGCGCCCTGCCACTGTGGGCGCCCTGCATCAATAACTCCTGGAGCCAGCAGTGCATTTGTGCTGACCTTGTTGAGCAGTGACTGATTCCCGCAGGGGAGCAAGAGGTGGGAGCGGCCGCCAGTGTTGCTGACCACGCAGCCACTTGGAGAGTCTGGAATGATGACCCCAGCACCTCCCTGTGTTGGGACAGCACAGGGCTGTCTGCTGGGGGGGTTACAGGCTGCCCCCCACAACCCTGTCTCATTCCCCAGTCACCACTTTCCAGCCTTTGAAGATGCTGGGCCTCCTCCCCTAGGAGTCCCTCCTCCTGCCAGGCATCCTCAGCCCATGCCATGCTTGGGGCCACCTCCACATTTTTGCTCGGGCTGTTTCCCACCCAGAAAAACGCCCTCCCTCCCTCCACGCTGCCAAATCTTCCTTCAGAGCCTTGCTCGGGCTCTGCTTCCTGCAACATGGCTTTCTGACTGTGCATGGGAATGTCTGCCTTGTCTCATTGTTTGAATATTATCCACCTGTGGGCCCCAGCTGCTGGTTTAGCGTGCCATCAGCAACCCCAAATGCCAATGGCCCACGCTGGTGACCTACCAAGGCTCAGGAATCTGAAAACTTGTCATGTGGTCTCTGCAAGGGGCTGGGGGGCCTGTGTGGGGCACAGAGGGGCTGGTGACAAAAGTAGAGGTCGTTTCTAACTTGGCATCTATGACACCATTAGCCGTGGGTGTGAACACTGGTGCAGCTCCTTAGGAAAACATTTTTTCCAAGATGTATCAAGTGCCTTAAAGTATATATTCCCTTTAACTCAGCATTTCCACTTGTGTAATGCTGGAAATAATTTGAGATACAGAGATATGTGTCAAAGAACGTTCAATACAGTGTTGTTATAGGAAAACACGGACAGGGAGAAACCAGGGCACTTGAACATGAAAGACTATCCTGCAGATACTGAACTCACAGTTAACAGGTGTCACTTGTGATTGTTTTACTGTTAATTGAAAAAGGCAGTATGTTAGGATGACAATTATATACAAAATAGGCTTAGGAAATAACTAGAAGCACAGTCTTATGAACAGTTGTCTGCAGTGTAGGAATTCAGGGTTTTGTTTTGTTTTTATCTTTCTACTTTCCTGTATTTACCAAAATTTATTCATTAAGTGCATGTTGCTTTTATAGTTGTGACATGCATAGACACACACACAAACAAATATCCAGGCGTTCCTTGATTTGGGAAAAACTGTGGCCTCACCACCTGTTCCCACCTTCTCCTTTCAGTTGTCCAAACCTGGGGGACCCCCAGAGCTGCCCTTGTGGAGTCAGTCCTTCCTCCTCCAAGGCTGAGATGGAGCCCCCAACTTCTCAGAAGGCACAGCCCTGGTGCTGGGGTACTGCTTCTCCACTTCAAGTAAGTGGCCCCCGGTGCCTTACCAGGGCAGCCACCCAGCAGAGCATTCAACGAAAGGGTGCTCAGCCCATCCCACCTCTGCCTCCTGCAGGGATGGGTTTGAGGGCTCCCAGCTCCAAGGCAGCCTCCCAGTGCATGCAGACAGGAGTGGGAGCACCTGCCTGGCTTCCTCGTCCAAATGGCAGCTCTGGGACACATGGGCCCGATTCCCTTACTAGATCCATACATTATTACTGCCCTGCCACTCCCTCCCCATGTGCCTGACAGTGAAGGGGGAGGGGGTGGAACCCCAGGGTTCACGGCCTTGAGGGGAGACGGGATTCAGAGACCAGCTGGTCCCCACTCTAAGAGTGAAGCCCCCAAAGGGCAGACAAAGGTGATGCGTATAAACACCCAGAGACACGGACTATGTTTGGAGCTGGCCTTGAACTCAGGAAGCCCTGAAGAGTAGGGGAGCAGTTAGGATATCTGTGCAGGGAAAGGCCTGGAGGCAGGAAATAGGCTGGCAGTGAGGATGCTGAACTAGATGCCAGGTACCCCAGGATGGGCTCTGGTGGGGCCGAAGACGCTGCGACCTAAGAAGCCTGGGGTAGGAGCTTTGGTGGGCGGCCCAGCTGGTCTCCCCCCACAGTGAAAGGCAGTGAGCCGTGGACCCTCAGCGAGCCCCTGGGCATCTCCGTGTTGCTGCTAAAGAGCCGTTTGTACCACAAGATGCTGACAGGGAGAGACCTGAATGGGCTGCGCGTGGAGAAGCTCCATGGCTGTGAGTCCTCTGGCCGGAACCAGGCCCACGGTAGGCCCGCCTGGTCCCACCCTGCCCCTCCCTGCTCAGCCCTGCCCCTCCAACACAGGTGGCTCTGGCTCCTCCTGCAGCTTCCTCCAGGCTCTGCCCAAGCACACAAACCACTGTCAAGGGTAAGGAGTTCCCCCAATACCAAAAGTCGGTCTTGCCCTGGGCTTTTGATGCAACTGCCCCCAAGCAGCTTGAGGAGAAGCACAGGGAGGCCCCCGGGGACAGCAGGAAGAGGTCAGGCCTTGAAGCAGCCAAACAACGTTCAAATCCCGATTTGCCAGGGTCCTTGCTGTGGAACCTGGGGAAAGCTACTGGACCTCTCTGAACCTCAGAGTGCCCATCTCTGAAACATGGGCAAGATGCCCGTATACAGTCTCTCTGTATAATAGGAGCCCAGGCTCTAGAGCCAGAGCCAGGCTGTCTGGGTCAAACTCTGATCCCACCTGTAGCCAGCTTGCACGACCAGGGGAAAACTGAAGTATCAGTGCTTCCGTTTCCTTGTCTGTAAAATGGGTTCATAGTAATAGTACTTTTCTCATAGCGTTGCTGTGAGACTTTTTGAGAAAATACCAATAAAGCACTTACAACAGAATTAAGTTCTTGAAAATAAAAGTTAGTAAGTTATCATCATTGTCTATTTCTATGTTACCATTTTTCCTAAAATTCTTCTGGCCATCCTGACCTAATAGACCTCAACAAATGGGAGCTTCCCCACTCTGCCAGGAGGCAAGCCTGGAGGTACCAGTCAGGTCTGGGATGGAGCTCAGAAGGGTGGTGTGGCGGCAGTGGGGGCGAGCGGAGGCTGGAGAACAGCCCGCACCTCCCTTCTGCTCTCCAGGCACAGCCCCCACCCCAGGCACCTACCTTCCTGGGGGCTCCACAGCAGTGGGCCGGGCGGACGCAGAAGCTGGCTTTGCCAAGTGGTCTGACTGGCCCCTGCTCCTCCCCAGGATACTGAGCTGAAAACCATAAACGGAGAGGCCCCCACACTGGGTCTCTCCCCCCAGCTGCTTTCTTCTGAAGTAAGACTGTGGGTCAGGAGAAGGCAGCCACGTGCCAGTTCCTGTGGCCCTTCAGGGTGCCCCAACCCCCTTCACAATTGTTGCCATTGTTGAGAGGCTAGGGCTGGGGCTTCCGGGTGGAGGTGGCTGCTGCTTTGAATGGAAGTGTCTAAGGGTGATTTGAGGATCCAGAAAACCAGAGAGAAAGCTGAGATTAAGAAGAGGAGAGCTGAGAGCAAAGGGCCCCCCTGGACCAGGGAGTCAGCCTCTAACCCAGCCCAAGCCAACCCGGGAGCACTAGGGTAAAGGTCCTGTAAGAGTGACATGGGATATCAGCCTCTGCTGCTGCGGAACAAACTACCACAGACTCAGCGACATAAAACAGCACCCATTTAGGAGCTCACGGTTCTGTGGGTGAGCGATCCGACACACAGGGCTGAAATCAAGACGTCGGCAGGGTCGTGTTCCCTTCCGGAAGCTCTGGGGAAGCACACACGTCCAGGCTCATTTAGGCTGTCATCAGAATCCAGTTCCCTGTAGTTGCATCTGAGATCCCCGTTTCTTCCCTGGGGGCCTCCCTCAGCTCCTGGCGGCGGCCTGCTGTCCTTCGCGTGATGTCCTCCTCCATCCGTCAGCCCGCAGGCCTGCTGAATCCCCCTCACACCTCAAAGCTCTCTGACTTCCTCCCCTATCAGAGGCCAGAGAAAACTCTCTGCTTTTCCAGGGACTCATGACTAGAGCAGGCCTGCTCTGAAAATGTCCCCATCTTATGGTCAGCTCTTCACTATCCGTAATCACAGGAGTGACAGCTCATCGCCACTGGTGCCAGGGAGAGGGTGCGGAATTGTGGGGACACACTTTTTTGGGATCCTTCCCACCACAGCTGGCTTCATCCAAGTGGAAAGATATCTGGGCAGAGGCCTGCTGGATGGATGCTATCTGTTCCTCTAGACGGCGGTGCCTGGGCTCTCAGTCCAGACTGGACCCTGGTCACCTAGCTCCAGTGCACCTGGCAGGCACCTGCAGCAACTTTTCCACTTGCCTCTCCATGGTACTGGGATAGGCACAAAGCTGGGATGTGGGCAGTTTAGGACTGTGAACCTGGGAAATGCTTACAGGAGCTGATGCCTGGGTCAGCTGATGTCCTGCCAGCTTCCCATGCTGGGAAAAAACAGCCACACCAGCTCTGGGGTAATGCTTGGCCTTGTGACCTTACCCACGAAGAACACAGAGAATTCCATGGTGTGGGTAAGAGGTATACAGCAGGATGTACCTTCCTTAAAATGTCTCCCAACGGAGCCTCCAGTGAGTGCCCCAAACCTCCATTAGCACTTCCAGCTGTGGAACGCTCTGCATTGCCCTCTAGAGATCCCTCGTGAGAGATGGTTTGTGAGATAAACCTGACACCCCCTACCCCCATTACCACCACCACCAAACCAGGTGTAGGACCAAGAAGGTACTGAAAGAGGGGGACACAGAAGCAGCGAAAGACCCCAAGGAAGAAATGGTCCTTGGAGAAGAATGTCACAGATTTCCCAGATTGTCACTCACCCTTCCGCAACCTCTTCTCAGGTCTAGAGCCTGTCCGTGGCCTCTGCCAGCCCCTTCCTCACCTCCCCCTGCCTCTTGCCCTTCACTGGGGCACATGTGTCCTGAGGACCAAAAGGAGCATCAAGTGCCCCTGTCCAGGGCACTGGGGGACCCAGGCAGGCAACAGGCAGGTGGGCAGGACCCTTCCCCAGTTGCCCAGGGGCTGGGCACAAAGGTCTCAGTGATGAATTATTCACCGGAGCTGCACTAAGTGCAGAATTAATCCCTTTCCTTCCGGCTGGCCGGCCTCACTAAATTATCCCTCCAAGTCATGCGGGAAAACGTTGCTGAATTCATTTAGCTGCTGAGTGTTTTGATCTGGGTCTTGTGATTTTAGCTTCCCCTTCCCCCAGCCCTCCTCCCCCTGCAGACGGGTAAAAAACCTTTCAGTAATGGATTTCTGAGAAGAAAGGAAAAGAAAGGGGATCAAGATTGGGTGTGTACCAGGAAAATAGTACGAGAGGAAATACAGATTCTGTAGCCAAGAATTCATACATATCTACACATGCACACTCTCTCACACAATCAAACACCCACACACAGATAGTCATGTATGCATAAACATGTACACACACACCCCTTTGCATGGTGCACACGTTTAATGGTATATACATGCTCATGTACACAGGCAGACTGATGCACAGACATTTTCACACTCACATTGACACACACAGAAGCTAAATCTCTTTGTGATCAAACTGTTTCTTGGTGAAACTGAGAATTGGCCAATAACGGATTCACTTTGATTCGAGAATCTTGAAGTCCAATTTGCGGGCCTGAATGTGAAGTGCTAATGCGGAGTAAGGTTCTTGCAGCCATGGCACCCATCCATTCATTCTTTTATTCCCCATATATTTGATGAGGACTAGAATGTTGGCTGCCCTTGTGGGTTGCAATGAGGAGAGGGAGGGTCCGGTAGCCATAGAGCCCATCTAGCTTGAATTCACCCTCATCAAGTTTGGACATGGCTTTTTCCACTCGTATCTAAGCCCTTTCGGCATCCTTCCTCCTGAAGGATGGCAGGAGAATGCTAAGAAGTGATGAATAGGTCAGCCAGCACTGCAGCTAAGTGTGAAGGCCTGTGCCCAGCTCCATGCCTCACCACCACCCTCACCGTCCCACCACCATCACCCTCCAAGCAACTGCAGACACTGACTGAGCTCCTGCTGGGCAGCAGCTACTGTCCTGGTTTTCAGGATCTGACACTGAAGAAGACAGAAAGAAGACCCTGTCTTCATAAAGCTTGCATTTTCAGAGAGCGGGCAGTGTGGACCAGACAAGGAGCAAGTCAGTTCATGAGCAGATATCAGCTCCCGAAACGAGGTGACGCGACAGAGGGTGTGTGGACAGGCTTTGTGGGTTTGGCTGCTGAAACACACCAGGCTCCTTCCATCTTATTGTTCCGTCCGAGCTGATGTCCGAAACTTCATGATAGAAGATACCTGGGCTTCATCTCTGCATTCCAGCCTGTGAGACCAGAACCATCAATTCTTCCACCATTTAATGAAACACTGCTCAAGGTTCCAGGAACCACCCCTGCAGCCTGGTGGTCTCAGAGTCTGTGGACACGCCGGCTGCAGGGGACTTACGATAATGAGCTTCTCAGGGCTCCTTGTCCATGTGGCCAACAACGCCATCTTAGGGGCAACTCCTTGCACATGGTCAGATGTGCTACAGAGAGGAAATGCTTCAGAAGGAAAGAATATGCATATTCTGTTTGGATACCTCCCCCTACTCGGGGACACAGTCTCTTCCCCATGAGTCTCCATGGGACAGCACGGACCATGATGCTTAATTGACATTTTGGTGGACACAGTCTCCCCACACGCACTGCTTCCACATCACCCACCATCAGAGCTCTAGGAGACAAGAACACTGTGGAATTTCCAAATAGTCAGGGACCACAGAGGCGTCTCTCAACAGCCCACTCTGGACAAGAATCTCCTTGACAACGTCCACCATGGCCAGTCACCCCAACTGCTTCTCCAGCTTGGCCATGACAGGGAGCTCATTACCTCCAGAGGCAGCCCATCCCATGGCTCAGTGGCTGCAACTGATAGAAACACTCACTCCGCATTGAGCCCACCTGTTTCCCAGGGCTTCCCTCTGCCCCAGATCCCTGGCTCTGCCCTTTGGGGCTACAACACAACCCCAGCAAGTCTCCTGTGCTGGTTCAGGGGAGACTGGCACGTAGTGAACGGCAAGATGGGGTGGCCCCTGATTTAGGATACTGTGCTTGACGCTGATTCTGTTGGTGAATTTGGTTCTGTTAAGCTTTTAACCTCTGGGGGAACTTCTCTACGGACACGGGCTGCTACAGTCCTCTGCCTTAGTCTTGAGTTTTGTGTGTGGATGAGCCCATGTATGGCTACACAAAGATACACAAAAACTAGAAAACGTGTGCACCCACATATACAGAGAGTGCTTGCCTTTATTGCCCATTCAGTGGGGGCTGGCCTTGGAGGTCCACCAGGCTCTAAGAACCCATGAGCCTTTGGGCTCCACATACACATACACCAGTAAACCTTTGGTCTCTTCCATTTCCCCTCTGATGTCGGCCTCTTCTCTTTGAAGAGTGTGATCTAGTCCACCAGGGAGTCTATGCTTCTCCCGGCTAAGCAGCCTGCCTCTTTTAATGAACTGGTTTCAAGATCCCACAGCATCCCAGGTACCCTCCAGCTCATAGGCAGCCTCTTTGAAGTATGCCCACAACTGACCAGCTTTCCTAGGCTGACACATGTGGACTGGAGCCTGGCATGCACTCAGTAGGTGCTCACTGTGCCAGCGCCTGCCTTCTTACCTGGAAGTGCACTTCTGTGAGATGGGACAAGTCCATGCCATCATCAGGGTGTGGGCAGCATGTCCCCTCCTGGGGCTGGGACTTGGGATCCAAAGGTCACCTAAGCAGGGCACCAAGCAGAGGTAGGGTCTCTCAGAAGGGCACCACCCCCTTCTTAGCCCACAGCCCTGAGACACGCTGGGAGTACTTGAAACCCACCAGCTTCCTTGGATTTGGGCACAGGGAGGGTGCATTTGAGGAGAGGCGGAGGTGGCACTTGCTGCCACCCATGGAGGACAGGGGCAGCTTCCACAGTCCCACCTGACCCTCCACCTCCCTGTTCCCCTCACAGGGTGGGGTGCCGTGCCAAGGCCGGCCCTGGTGTTTTTATTCAAACCAGTTACACAGCTCTCTCCAGAGACCAGTCCAGAATGGGGACAAGTAACTGTTGATCAAATGTGGAGGGGAGGGCAAGGGACAGGCAGAATCATGCTGGCTTTTGATGAATTTTGATGAATTTCTTTGAAAGCTACACATGACAGCCCTGGACTGGTCCTCAGAGAAGCCCCACCATAGACTCCACTTGCTTTTTTCTCCTAAGAGGGAGCTCATTACCTCCCAGGAAGCCCTCTCTAGCCCCCATCAGCCCCCTTGTAAGCCTCTTCTTCCTGCGTCTCCCCAGTTCCCTCCCTGCCCCTGCCCCTTCCTCCCTAAGGGCTCCAGAGAGGTCAGCTTCCATGTCACCCCTGCTGATGTTTGCAGACGTGTTGAGTCATCTCCAGCCTGACCAACTGCCCTCCTCTGACTGCTCCTTGTCATGCCTGGTTTCTGCTTCTCTCTCATCCTCTAGGCTATCTCCTCTTGACAACACCCTTCTTAAAGTGTTCCCCCAAAACTGTGGAGCTGGATCAGCATTGGTAGATAGAAGAGGAACATCACCCACTTTCTCCAAACACATTCTCCCCTTTGGTGCCGCCAAAGTCTATCATTTGCATTATTACCAACCAAGGCCACAGGGATCCACTCAGAGCCTGGGAGTTCTAGTCTGACATGTGAATCATTGTCTGACAGCACATGTTCACCTTGAACTTCTGCTGCTCTGTTTTGAACTTAGGCAGGGCTTCTCTTCTCTGTAATGCTTCAGGTTCTTAGTCATAGCCCATGGTCTGGGCTCAAGATCATTCTAGACCCCGGTTTTATCATGCATCACAGTCCCACCTCCACCCCCACCCCAAACTCCAGGGTGGTCAGGACACTTTCAGTGCTGTGAGGTGCACTAAAAAGAGTGTATCCTTAGATCTGGGTTTGAATCCTGGATCTTCCATTTGCTTTTATCCACCCTGAGCCTCACTTTCCTTATCCATAGAAAGGGGGTGTTATCCCTACTGTCCTGGAACATGATGAGAGTTGAATGAGGGACCATGTGCAAGTGCCCAGCATAGTGTATGGCAGACACAGTAAAGGGAGCACTTGACATTGTTCACGCAAGTTGCTGAAACATGCTGAATTCATCAAATTCATCAGGGATGAGGACAGGGCTTCTGGGGGAGGAGAACGTTGGAGCCCTGCTAATCCATCACTCAGCGCCCACCCTTCATTGACAGCTGCTCCACCAGATTCACATCCATAAGGACATCAGGAGGCCTTATCAAGTGCTGAAGATAAATGTCAGCAGCACTACATTTTTCCTCACAGCAATTTTTCGGGGAATAAAAAGATGGAGAAGAGACAGACAATCATCTCTCCAGAAGCCAGCCTTGCTGAAGCCCCCAGTGTACCCTGCCCTGAGAACTATGGAGGAGATGGAGAAAGTGAAGACTTGTTTCCTGGACTATGAGCTCCCAGGGCAGGGTGGACAGAGCTAGACCAAGAGCCACACCAAAGGCTCATCTCAAGTGCCTCAATACCACAGGACCCTGTACTGCCTTGAGAATGTGAGCCTGCAGTTCCCAGCCAGAGATGGAGTGTACTGCGTCGGGATGCAGGGCTGGCTAAGGAGACTGGACAATTGGGCCGTCTCCTGACCTTCTCTGCTCTCTCATGAGCCCATTGCAAATTGGTGGATTGATGAAAGGGCAGCAGAGGAAGAGATACAGGACAAAAGCTTCCAGATCAAACTTTTCAGAAAATGGGGGCTGCTCTTTGGTTTCTCTCCATCTCAAAGCCAGACTACCATAGCCTAGACCTCCCTTCAGCCAAACCAGATGGACGTACGGTCCAGCCAGTGTCATTCAGGCATGAATTCATTAACCACTTATTAGATTCCTAACCTGTGCCAAGCAGTAAAGCACCCCAATAGATCGTCACCACCCAGCTTGCTAAGGGTTCTAGTTGAGGTAGGTGCATTGAGCACATAAAGGCAAGGGAGAAGTCACAGGAAGAATGGTCTGGGCTCTGCCTCAAAGAGTGGCTTGGAAATTGGCACAAGGGTGCTTCAGGCAAAGGGAGCCGCAGTGCAAAGCCTTGGTGGCATGGCAGTATCTGGAGCACATGGGACATCTGGAGCCCGTTGTGGGCAGTGAAACTGGAGAGTTGGATGGAGCCTAGATTGCAGAGGGCCTGAATGCTAGGATACAGGGTTTAGACTTTGTCATGAAGTGAAGGGAAGCTAAGGGAGGTCTTTGAACAGCAGTAAGCTGTGATCTGACCTCTATGTTGGAAAGGTCTCTAGAAGTAAATAGGGAGAACTCAAGGGGGAAGATTAAACGCAGAAAGACCAGGCTTCAGGCTAGCAAGAGTGAGCCCATAGCCTATCCACTAAACTATACCAAAACCCCTGCCAGAATTCTTAAAAATCCTTGCCACTGCCTCCCCTCCCTGAACCCCTGAATTTGCTTTTAGATTAGCCCTCTGACACCATTTTCTGGAGAATGAATCATGGCCCCAGTGAGGATTAAAACTTGGGCCCTTCTTGCCTGGAAGACAGACTCAGAGCTTCAAACCCCAGGGCAGCTGCAGGACCATGCCATAAATGAGGCTTTCAATATGCAGGGGAGGCGGCAAGCCCTCCTGGAGGGGCCTGTTGTGTGTGAGGCTTGCCTTCAGCTGAAGAGATAAGAACCTACAACAGCGGCCACAGGAAATGACAAAGCAGTGGCTGATCCGGGATCGCTGCACAGGGCTCATTATGGCTTGCCAGCAGGCGAGACACCCTTATCAAGAAGAAAATTGCATCAGGCCTCCTGAATTACTTGAGATTGGAAGCAGATTTCTTGGGACGCACTTTGTTAGATACCTAATGAGGGGGATACAGGCAGGCAGAACCCAAAGCTGGCAGGGAGGGGGGCAAATGTCTTTGTTAGACAGAATTTGTCAGTTTCCGCTCCAGGCTCCCTGGGGAGGGTTCAGGGCCAGCTAATTGAATTAAGAGCAAGTGAGCTCCAGTGAGGAGGCTCAGGGCGGCGCGGGAGGCGGGCAGGCCGGAAGGCGGGTACTTTCAGTACCAAGGACAGCAGCTGCAACCTGGCTAGTCTGTAATTGCCAAGGCCGGCTGGAACTGTTGCATTTTGCATGATCAGGGATCTAGGGGATGGAGTGGGTAGGAGGGAGGTAGGAGGAGGGGGAAACAGGTGACCCAAGAAGCCTTGAGCCTGTGATGCTATTGGCCTGGTCCGTCTCAACAGACCCTCCTCTGCAGGCAACAGCGAGCCCTGAGTGGCATGAGGAAGGTCTTCTTACCATCACGGCATTGGTATGATGTGGCGCAGCTGCAGCAGCGCAGGGAGCGATGGGCTGGGCACTGAGTCTGAGCCCGTACGTGGCCATGCATCACTTTGAGCTTTCAGAGTAGGTCTCTAATTACAGCCCTAATGAAGCAGGATGTGCTGCGGCCACGGAGCCACAGAGTGAGGGGCCACTTGCCAGCCCCAAGCTGCCTCAGCAGACCTGCAAAAAATAGAAAAGCAAATAAATAAGTTTGTGGAGTGGGCCAGCAGTTCCCACCTGGGCTTGAAGGAAAAGGGGAGAGCTAGGCTAGGCTGGGCCTGAATAGGGAGGGGTTAGTCCCCAAAGCTCCACCTCTCCCTGTAGCCATTTTAGCATTACCTCTCTCCCATCCTCCACACTGACCCACTACTTCCAGCAGTCTGATCCCCCCCTGTAGTCTCAGACAACCTCCCTTCCCATTAGGAACAAAGAGGTAAAGTTTTTCTATAGATTTTTCTGTAAGTCAGCCCCCTTGGCCCCAACCTCAGGCCAGGATAGATCCTGGCAAAATTGATTGGGGCAGAGGATTGGAAGTGTGGGCAGGAGACCTGTAGGGATGGGGGTAGGCGGTGGGGAGGTACTGACATGAAGCTGCGTGGGAGCAGATAGAGGCCAGGGCCAGCAGGGAAAGGGCAAGGCAGAGCAGAACCACTGAGTCTGGCAGGAGCTACAGGAAGAGCAACTGGACATCAGGAAGGGGAGGGATGGGCAGAATAGACCAAAGTCCATAAATACCCTGCTTTCCCTTCTCTCCTTCCCAGAACAACTCCCTGCAGCCCAGAGACTGATGGGGTGAAGGCAGGGGTCTGGACTAGTCAGTCTCATTTTTTTTATCTTTGTGATGAAATTAAATTAATTATACATAATACATTTCAGAATCCACATAGAAGTACCTGGTGAGTACTGGTCCAGCTCTGATCACAGGCCCAGGAAATGTCAGCTCTGGGTCACTGAGTTGACCCAGCTGGTGCTGGAGCCACACAGGGTGGATTTCAGGGAGACGGGCTATGGGGGAGCGGCCTCCCTCAGCAACTGTCCCTGCTTTCAGAACTGATGGGGGCACCTCTGGAGACCTCACCCTTGATTTCATTACTTCTACTTCCTCCCCTAAATGGATTAGATGGCAGTCTATGAAATCCAGGGCATTGAGATTGGCTTTCTGCCTGGAAATGAGGAGAAATGGCCTGATTCAGCATCTCACCCTAGCCCTAGGGACCACGTGGTCAGTAAGGAGTTAGTCTTGGCCCTGGCTAGCCAACCTTCCTTCATTCTCTTGCATCCATCCACCTACCCAGCCATCCAATATGCATTCTGTACTTACTTCTGCTACTGCAGCCAATCTGCTGTTCTGCTGTTCTGAGCAGGAGACAGACATGGTGTTTTTTTCTCCTATCTCCTATCTAAAACACACAGACAACCAGAAAACCCTAAACCACCTAACACAGATGCCACACAGAGGTACCACAAGATTCCAAATGAATCTTGCCCTCTCAAAACCACAGCTACTGAGAGGAGCATGTGAGAGAGACAGCCAGGCCTAAGACCCAGGGACAAAGCAAGCCCAGAAGTTCAGTAGGTACATAGTCAGCCTCAGGGTGATCCCATGATTCAGTCTTCCCATTCTAGGAATTTTCACATAGCTGCTTTCTCTTTGGAATTATCTATCTGTCCTTGTACCTATTTGACAGGGGGTAAAAATAGGCCCAGGCTGGACTGGATACCTTTGTATTTATATGGCTGTCCCTTACTCTATTGACACAAGCCTAAAAGGCTTCATGTTAATGAATTTCTGCACACCAAATTTTATTTTAAAGGGCATAAAGGAATCATTATTTAAGGATCCCAGTGGTAAAGTGAAGGGTCCTTGTCCCCATGCGTCTGGTTCATGTGTTTGGATTTCTCACACAGAGTATTCTCCCAAAGAACAGCCCATTACAATCGTTCTCACTCTCTTGGCTCAGGGTCAGACATTTGGGTACTTCTAACCCTAAGCACATCTGTCCTGGCTGGCTCTGTGCCTGCTGTTCTATTTGATTCTAGCACAATACTCTAGGCAATAGCATATTTGTCTGTGTGGCCGAGAGAGAATTTCATCAGATGATGTAGGGTGGAAGTGGGTCACCCTTGAGGCCCCTACAAACCTAAGACTGAATAATTCTTTGAACAATGGGTATGTTTGTGGCTAACCACACATTTCTAACAGAACTTTAAAGTAACCTATCCCCAAAGGGAATATAAGACATGCCTCTAAGCCCAAAGAAATTAAAGTTTTGTCAGGAAAACAAAAATGGCAAGTAAGCCTGGGATTAGAGAACAGTGTACCAGAGAGAGAAGCCCCTGGGCTGGAAGAACCCAGAAAAGCTTTGAGCAAGTGTGAGTGGAGGCCATCAAGCCTTCCTGGAGGGGCTGGTATTTGAGTGGAGTTGAATTCTGAACAAACAGAGATGAGAACAATAGTCATGCTGAGGGAGGAAGAGGAGAAGAGAAAAAGGACATGGAAAATGAAAAGTCCATCAGAGTAGAGAGAGAAGAGGCTGTTGAGTGGGTGCTAAGATGAGAGGATGGCCGAGAACATTGACGGGAAAATAAGTCTGCACACAGCCAAGGGGGTCAGAGAAGTGTGGAGATTTTAGAATCTCCACCAAGTGTGGAAGTCATAGATGGCATGGGTTATTTATCCTTTCAACAGATATTTACTAAACACCTACAGTGAGGCAGACAATAGGGACTAGACAAGATTACTCTTTACATGTAACATATATTCTAGTGTGGGGATTGGAGAAGGGAGGCAGACAGCAAATACATTTTGGGCAAGGTAATTTTCTGGTAGTGTCAAGTACTATGAACACAGTAACAGATAATGTGAATAGAGAGCATATTGGTGGAGGGCTTACTTTAGATAGGATGGGCCTATATCTTAAAGGCCAGAGCCTCTCTGAGAAGATCACATCTGGGCTGAGACCTGAATGATGGAAAGGGGACAGCCCTGTAAAGACCCGTGACGCTCTCTGGGTGGAGAGAACAACAGATGCAAAGGTCCTGAGGCAGGAGAGAGCTTGGCTTGTTGGAGGAAATATGCCTAGAGCCCAGTGAGCAAGGAGGCAGGTGGTAGGAAAAAGAGGGGGGCCGGGCTTGCAGGGCCTCCTGAGCCACGAGGAAGAAAGGGTTGAGGAATATAGAAGATAAGCTTAGAGAGATTTCTCTGTGCCTTCTCTTCCCAGAGACCAGAAATCTTCTTAACACCAAACAACAGCAAGGTTCTGCCCATCCTGGACCCCAAGATCTTAGATGAGAAGCTAGGTACCATTCATGAACACTGGTCCAAGGCCACGGTGAGCTCCCCAGAGGCCTCCAGCACATCCACCTCTCAAGAAGCTGAGGAAAAGCCTCGGGCGCCCAAGATCTGTGGAGATGCGGTGAGTGTCCCCCACCCCCCCAGGGCCAGGAGGGCCACCGCAGTGACTGAGGCCATGGGGAGGGGGCTTGACTGCCATCTGTGGGCCTGGTTCACTCCTCAGGTGGCAAGTAAGCTTCCCCTTTGGGCACACTTTGCGTGTGAGTTGCCCAAAGCTTAAATGGTGGGAGGTGTGTATTCTTCATTTTACAGGTTCCTTTTGAACGGAACCCCCTATGATTCCTTTTGAAACAAACCCCTCTTATTCTTGTAAGATCAGGCCCATTGACTCAAGTAATCAACTTAGAAGTTCCTGAGAAGCATGTCCACTGGCTAACGGGAAGATCAATTTTGACTTCTAAAAAAGGAAACTGGGGCTCAGAGGAAAAAGGACAGCGTCTTTGGTCACAGAGTCTATCTCCTTGATCACAGGAGCTGGTGCAGCTTCCTGTGGCCAGTTGACCAGATGCTGAGGAAAGGTTGGTGAAGATGGCCAAGGGGGTATCTTCATTTGGTGAGGGGCCAGTGCTGAGTCCTAACACTGTGATGCAAAGAGCTAAAGAATGGCCACCTAAAGTTCCAGCCACGGTTCCCAGTGGAGGTCCCACCCCAGGGACTAGGGGCGCATTCAAGGATGGCTTCTTCCCTTCTCCCACAGCGGATCCCGTGGGGAACGCTGCTCTGGAAGATCCTGAGAAAAGGCCACCATCCTATAGGGAAACCCCGGGCCTTCTCCTCTCAGAACGTGCCCCTCTCTACTGACAGCTTCCACTTCTTCCCCTGGCACTTGTGCACCTTCCTGGAACATGTCCTATCGGACGAATAGGAAGGGTTGCTATCTGCTGGGTGTGCCCAGGTTGTTCCCACAAGGAGTGCCCCTGTCCACCCCGGAGCAGGACCCTTCCTGGCAGGTACCAGAGCAATCACAGGCTACTTCTACACTCTTCCTCTCACCTCGGCCCCTTGGGAAAGCAGCTGTCAGTTCTGACCTGCCAGCTCACCCATCAGTTAGGTTGAAATAAGATTCACATCTTGTCTTTGGAGACTTTGGGCAGCAAGAACATACCCATGCCTGCAGTTAGTCTTGGTCTTCTCATAAGAATTAGACCGTAAGAGATGGGACTAGACTATAGCTTGAGAAGTCAAGGTTAACCATGAAGAACTGTTTTTGACAAGAGATTAAGCAACCATTATGAGTGACAGAGGGGAGGAGGAGAATTAAGCGGCCCAAGGACACAAAAACAAGATTCTAGGAGGCTCTGAGGGCAAACAAAGGGGCTCAAGCTGCCCTATACCCCCAGACTGCCAGAGATACTGTGAGTTGGGTCTGTTTGGAGAACTAACTCAAGCATGCCCTCTCTGGATATTGCCACAGCACTCCCATCAGTGGGCTGGTCCCTCTGTCCTTCCCCGTGCTGGCACGTGGCAAGGCCATGGGCACTGGCTGCTTTTTTCCTGGCTGGCTGTTGTGTCAGGTCAACTCAGAACTAAGAGTGGCTTCCTCACCTCTGTGCTCCTGGGCCCAGGCCAGGTCTGGCCCAACATAAACATTGGCAAATGTTTATTGAACCGTGTAATAGAGCCCCTGGCTTGACAGCAAGGACATCAGAAATAACCTTAAAGTATCTGGTCTGATCTAAGTTTACAAAGGATGGTGATGAGATGGCCCAGCAATGGGATGACTCTGCCAGAGCTGCCTGACCCTGCTCTCCCATGATGCGTCGCATATAGCCAGGTGAATACCAGACAGCTGAAGGGGCCTGCAGGCCCAGCCCTGGACCCTCCCGCCACCCTAACACCACCGGGCCCCTCAGACACTCACACAACATTTAGGGCAGTGGGCCAGGCCCGCTCCCTTGACCATGCCAGCCTGTCCCAGGCTCAGCCTGTTCCCTGCTTGTTCCTGACCCTTGGCTCCATTCCATTTATCCTGCCCCAGCCTCAGTCCCCTAACGCATCATCCCCCCCTTCCCACTCTTCTCTCCGTCTCAGCTCAGATTTACTGTCCCACCTACTCCCACCTCTGACACTTTGCCCTAGTTTGGATGCTGGAGACCCAGCCCCCAGCTCCAGCTTCTCTCTGCTAACCAGAGCCTGAAAGGACCAGGGCAGGGCCCAGAAGGACATCCACACAGCCAGGAGTGCCCAGTCACAAGCACTGGCATGTGGGTGGGTAGCAACAGTGTGCAGCTCCATGAAGCCATGTAGCAATGGGTCACCGTTCCATAGCAACCAAGCAAAATTACATAGCAATGGACAAGCTCATGCAGCCAAAAGCACAGTGACAGGCGACAGAGCGTGACTGCGCCCAGTGAGCGGACTACGAGCAGCCTCCCAGGGAGCCTGTCAGTCTCACCTGGCTCCTGGAGCACATTTCTCTGTCTAGCCTTGTCACGTACTCCCCAGAGCCCAGGAAACAATTCTGCCTCCAATTCCCTCCAGAGCCTGCCCTGGCTTAATAGGAAATTATGCATGTTCTGGAAAAAAGAGCCCCTTGGGAATGGAGAAGGAAGCGAATGGGTCACAGAGTCTGGGCCCTCCAGGTAGGGAGGATGCCCCCCAGCCCGCCTGGCCCTGTGGGGCGCCCCTGCCCCTGGTGTGCTCATGAAGCCACCCTCACCCCGGGCTGCAGTCTAGCCTGTTTTTCCAGCCTGGGCTCCCTTCATCTAGGACCTGGTTTTAACACAAGCCTTTCAGTGCCGTTCGATACCAAGTTCCAGTCCTGGGTGGATCTGTCAGGGTCAGGATCCCTCAGGTGTGATCTTGGGTCAAGTGTGGGGCCCAAGAAGAGACAGAGGAAGCTTTCACTTCCCTTCTGAGCAGCCCGGGTAATCTTTTTTGGAGGAGGTAGGCTTTTAAGTGAGGGTGAAGAATGAGATGTTAAGAGTCATCTTGAACATGGCAACTCTCTACGTTAAACAACTTGCAAGCATTTCCCCCTTTACCCCTTAGGCCCCCTGAGCCTACGCCATGCTGACCCAGGCAATGGCTCCCCACACCAGGATGATAGCAGGTCGGATGAGAGGCTCCATGCACTCTCCCAACAGGCCTGATTCTGTTCACAGGGGGCTTACAAAACCCCTGCCCTGTCCCCAGACTCCCCATTCCCCTGCAGCTACATCAGCAATTCCTTCAACCAGCCGGAAAACCAGATCTCCCCGCCCCTGCCAAGTGCCCAGGGCCATGTGCAGCTGTACATAGGGTGAGGGTGGTGAGAGAAAGAAGCTGCCACATCCCTGAGTTCTGGAAGTTTCCCAGCAGGCTGGAGGGAGCTCCATTCCAGTGAAGGACAGAGTGTCACCGAGTAGGCACGCAATAAATATTTGGTGAGGCATGAATGACAAAGGGATGTGGCTGAGACGCGGTATCTTAAGTGCCACACTTACCCAGCATGGCTGAGCACACCTGGTGAGCCCTCACTAGAGTGAGAGGCAAGGCGGGCTTCCTGGAGGAGGCGAGCTATGCTTTGGGTAGAAGCAGAGGTGCTCAGCTGCTGTTCAAAAAGTGTGTGCTCGGCGCTGCTTCCAGTGCAGAGATTCCAGCACAGGGGTATTCCCCTCCTCTCTCCGGCTCTCTCCCCTCTCTCCGTTCCCCTCCCCGCCCCCTCCACGACCACCTGGCTCCACTTCTGTCCTTCCCAGCTTCCTTCTTTGCTTATCTCTGTTTCTTTCTGATTTCCTGGCTTTCTCTCCCTCGGACTCCCCCCCACCCACCCACCCCTATTGGTCCCTCCCTGTCTCCTCCTCCGCTCAGAGGAGATTTGCGGCAGACCAGCGGGTCCTCATACCAGCAGATGAATAATTGACAAGGATCGTTTAAAGATTCAGTGGAGTTTTTTCAACCTCACCACACAGGAATAACCCATTTCTTTCATTCTCTCTCTGAAAATCTTTCTCCCCTCCCCCCGTCACTCCCCTTCCCAGTCCCCACAGACCCGCCCTGCTCTGGGCAGAACACTTTTGCCTGACTTCTTTTCTTGAGTCTGCTGGACCCCAGAATGATCCCCGATCCCTGGGTTTCTTTAAGTCCACTTCCCCAGATGCCCCCACCCCTTCAACCTGCTCCAAGGGTGGTAGGTTGACTTCAGCCTCTCTGGACACTGTTTCCCTGAGAAGGAGCCCCGTTCCGGAGGAAGACAAGAGAAGCCGTGGCTTTTCCCAGGCCACCCAGCAATGGCCCAGGGGTTCAGAGCGTCGGAGGGCCACCTCCCAGCCCAGGGACCCGACCAGACAGGTGGAGGTTATGCTGGCTATGCCATACCTTGCCGGGTAGCTGGTCACTCTGTGACCCTGAACCTTGATTTCCCATCTGAAACTGAGCAGAGCTGCTCACCCTGCCCTACATGCGCCTCAGGGCTAAATGGGACATGTGAGGGGTGGAAAAGAAAAAGAAAACAGGGCCAGCAGTGTAGCAGAGATTCCTGTGAGTGTGGTCCTATGTGACTGCCTGGTATGGCCCTAGGGTGACCAACCATGCCTGTCTGCCCAGGACCAAATTGCTCTTGGGACATAGGATTTGCAGTGCCAAACCTGGGACAGTCCCAGGCAAACCAGAATGGGTGTCAACTACATGGCATGGGCCCTCCCACACCTGAACCCTGCACCGTTCAAGGTTCCTGTGCCCCCTTGGCCCCCTGGGTACCCCACAGTCACAGGGCAGACACCCTCCTCCCACCAGCCTGGCTCCACACTATCCACCTTGCTCACAGAGCTCTCCCACCTCCTTGAAGTAACCTTGAACTCCCTTCCCTCTCTGGGCCCCAGTCCCGTCCTCTGCTGTTGAGGACCGCCATTGAGGAGTGGGGAGCCGATGTTCCTGAGCCCCTGGGGCTCCTGCACTGTGACTGGAGACTTGGTCCTGCCCCTGGGCCTGCATCACCCGCCCTGCCCAGGTTGAGGTCTGCAGACCAGTGAGGCTGAGCAGCTCAGACCTGCCTTGGCTCCCTGGGCAGCACCTTGCGGCAGGCGATGGGTCCTGAGCTAGATCCTGTGCAGCTGTCAGCAGTAGTCGCCTGAGTACGGACACTCCCCCCTTTGGGGGCAAATGGTAGCAGGAATGTCGGCCTGGGGTGGTGCTATCCCAAAGCCCAAGAGCCTGGGGTTGGCCCCCACAAGCTGAAGGGACGAGCCCAACCTGGGGAGCAGGTCATTCCTGGGTCCTGAGACCACATGCTTTGGTCCACAAGAGACAGAGAAAATATAAGAGAAGCAGGGGGTTCAACCGAGACCAAGAAAGCACAGCCATGTGGTGCCCACCTCAGTAGCCTCCAGTCAGATGCCCCTGACTCAGTGTCCCTCCAGGCCACCAGGTGCATCCCCCAGACATCAGGGTCACTCGTCCCTCCTGCTCCAATGCCTCAGTCTCTGTAGCCCCCAACTCCACTGCCCAGTGCTTGTGGCCCCAATTTGCCAGGTCAGTCTTCTGTCCTTGTCACCTCTCCAGGCACTCTGTTCTGTCCATGCAGCCACAAGGCCCACCTAAGGGCATGTTCATCACACACAGGCACCAGGTCACACCCCTGCCCCCAGGCCCAGCTCTGCAGAGAGGAAGCCTTCTCAGGGCCCCAGCCCGCCTCAGCTACTCCTTGCAGTCCTGTGGCCCGTAAGCTGTGAGTCCCAAGTGCTAAAGCTAATCTTGTGAGGGCGCAACTGTCCCGCTCCTGCTCGGCTGAGTGCCCTCAGCAGCTGCCCCCTCTTCCTGTCCTGACGTCCTCCTCCTCTTACAGTTCCTACACACAGGCATAGACACAGTGCTTATCAAGCGTTTAAGGAAGGGAGGGAGGGAGGAGAAGAAGGTGGAAAGGAAGAAATAAGGATTTCTTATCTCCCACAAGACCTCTTACCTCCCCATGCAGACGCCTCCCCCTCCTCTCTGTGCAGTTCTCGCCAGTGTCGGTCCCCTCTGCGCTGCCAGAGCTGTGGGACCTTGGCTAAATCACTCTGCCTCTCTGGGCCTGCCTCCTCATTGTTAGGTTAAGAGAATATTCTCCCCACCCTTTGAGTCTGTGGGGAGGATTAACAAGAGTGCGTGACAGCCCTGGAAACTGTAACGGGCTGTTCACTTTGCAGGAGGCTTATTACTGGTCGCTGTGTGGGCCCCTTTGAGACTGAGAACAGAAGGGGGGGAAGCCCAAGTCCCCCAGGCCTCCCCGCCGTGCCCCTTCTCCAGAAGGGCCATTTCCAGACCCCTGACCCGTTTCTCCTCCCTCCTTCCCGCAGTCCGTCCGAGTCTCCAGTGGGCCATTCTCCTCGTTCATCCATCACCTGGGACTAAAGAGATTAATAAACGAGACTCATAACTCAGCTGCCGGGATGCGGCAGATATTTACGGCTCCGTTTCAATTTGCAGAGATTAAGTGTTTGTCGATTTATTGTCTCTTGGTGTGCGAGCTGCTGAGTAGGCCCCCTGCAGGCCAGCTCCCCTCCCCCACTCCACATGCTGGCACATTTGTGGGCTTCCCAGCCCTGCACCAACCCATCCCTGGAGCTGGTGGGGAGCCCCATGCTGCCTGCCTGGGAAAGCCACTGGCCGCTGCAGTGGGCCTGTCTTCCTGACCTACTTGACATGAGGGGCACTGGGCCTTGGCCTTGGAAAGGGCCCACGGCCCATGGAACAGAGTAGTAGACGGGCTGACAGCGGGGAGCCATCCTTAGATGATTAAGAGAGCCCTTTCTGGGTGTCCTCCAGCCTTGTCTCTCCCCACAGAGGGAGGGTTCCACAGGGCCCCGGAAATGCACCTCGGAGCCCAATCCCCACGATTCTAGACCACTCTCTGGTACCCAAGACCCAGAATTCCCTGCCCAACAGGACCAGAGCCTGCTCTTGAGAACGGTGCAAACCACTTCCCAAAGGGCATCCTCCCAAAGGTTGAATACTTTCAGGGAGTGCCTCTCTTGGCCTGGGGGATGGCTGGGTGGGGATGGAGGGTGCCCATGCTGGGGACTACCACTTACGCTCTTGTCCTGGGCCCCACAGGCATTTGGGAGTGGATCTGGAGATGGGGAGGCACACAACTCCGGAGAAAGCCTCCCAGCTTGAGGAGGAGCTTGCAGATGGAAGTGAGATATCCTGGGGTGAAAAGGGCACCACCCCCAGGGCTGGGAATGGGGAACAGCTGTGCCCCAAGTATGAGAAGTGCTTGGGGAACCAAAAAGGGACACAGTGAACCAAAATTCCAAGTGCTCCCCCCACTCCCATGGATCCAAGCAGCCCCTCTCCTTTCTTGTTTACTGTGTAGTCTGGCACATGCACTCACTCCTTCATTTATTCATTCATTTGGCCAGTGTTTTGGGCACTTGCCATGTGCCAGGCCCTGTGATCTTCCCCTGCAGACACCTCTGCTCATCTGTGCAACTATAGTAGGTTTGAGGCCCATCTCTGCCACTCAAGAGCTGTGTGACATTGGATAAATTATTCCACCTCTCTGGGCCTGTCTCCTCATCTGTCCCATGGCCTCTGCCTGACTCTTGAGGCTTTTGAGAAGATTAACACGAGAGTGGATGGCAGGACATTCTAACTGTGAAAGGCTGGCCTCAGTTCAGCAGGAGAGATACATGGGAATCCATGGAGGAGGGGACGGCCGGGACTGGAGTGCAGTCTGCCCAGGTGATTGCAGGAGCCCAGAGGGGAAGGTACGGAAGCCTAACCCCACTCAGTCGGCCCCAGGAGGTAGTCCACAGGCGTCACTGTCACCAATGGCTGTTATTATGAAAACCATGATAGATCTCAGATTTACTAGTAGAAGAGAAGTATACATGGGTGAACTTGTTCCTGCAGGAGGAAGTCATTGAGTGGGGATCCCCTCTGGTGTGTGCGGGGTGTGTGTGTGTGTGTGTGTGTCTCCATACCTCCCAGCTGGAATCCCGGCCTGGGATCTCACCACCAAGTGCTGTGGGTCCCGCAGGCTAGTCCCTTCCCTCTCTGGACCCCAGTTTATTTGTGTGTAAAATGGGAGAATATCTCCCTCCAGGGAGGGATGAGACAGTCTTGGGAGTGTGGAGGAGAGAGATCTGAGGGGTGGATAGAAGAGTGAATCAGCCAAACACAGCCCCCCAGCATCCAAAGACCAAGCCCGAGGACGTGCAGCTAGGAGGGCCGCTAGAGCGGAGGCCCCCAGGAGGACAGAACATTAAGAGCTGAGAGAGCCGGGAGGGGCAGCAGGAGCCCTGGCTCAAGGGGGAGTCCTTCTGGCTGCAGCCCCTGCCGCTCTGGGCCTCAGGCTCCCCCTCTGCCGAGCAAGGGGCTTGTGCTTCATGGCTTCCTCCTTCATTCCGGCAGACAGGCAGGCAGAGGCAGATGGCCTCCCAGCCCTGCTCCTTAACAAGATGGCTGGTGCTGCCCGGGGTCACTGTCCATCTCAGTTCCTTGATTAAACAGTGGGTGGGTGGGGCACGAGTGCCGCTTTCTCAGCTGCTTTCTCGGTAAATAAGGCCAAGATGATGAAGCCATAAATTGCTGAGGGCTTGAATCATCGATCGGTGAGGGTGGGAGGGACTACAGACCAGGGTGAATGGGAGAAATTTGCCCTCCTTTTAATAATACAAATTATATCCATCAGTCTTTATTGAGCATTAGCTCTGCTCCCAGAACTTTAATCGTAGTCTCACTTCACCGATGCCCTGGTCT